ATATATAGTAGATACTTATTTAAATTTGTTGTCTTATTGCTTCTAACTACTAAACCTTGAAAAATCATAAATATAACACTTGTCATCCATAAAAGTTCTCAAAATCAATCATACAATTCACCTCACCCCATTAATAGACTTGTTTATGAAATGCAAATCCCCTGTATATTGTAATCAATAAATTAGCTTATATAAGTTCAGTGCCTAAAATAAATAAACTCTTGCTATTAGTATAGAACTAGGTGTTGACCCGCGCCCAGCGCGGGGTGAGTGATGGAAAGAGTTTATTACTATAATATGTAAGATAATATAATATAAATTTATTTGTATTTTTTGTTAGAGCAAATTTTGTGTATTGGATATGTCCATTGATTGAAGTGTTTATATGAGAAAAAAATTTCAGAGTAAGGAATGATTTTTATTAATTTATTAAATAATTTATGAAAAATAAAACATAAAAATATAATTGTTCATTTAAAAACCAAAGTATGATGATAATAATAAAATAAATAATTGTAATATATTTTTGTATATGATATATTTAGAATTTTTAAAACTTACGTATATCTATATATTTAAACAATTACTTATATATTTATAGAATCATTGAATGTTAAGAAAACCTTTATCTAAGAAAGAAAATATACATAGCAGAAATTTTTATATTTTAAGAGTAAAAAAATTAAATTAAATGAAAATATCGTGTATCCCACCAAAAGACACTGTTTGGAATCTTCAAAAGTTAGTCTTTAGTCAGCTTAACTTATGTAAATAAACATCAAAATAAATTCATCAAGAAACATTAAAATGTTCATGTATACTTCTTTTTGAAAACTTCTATCCTTGAAGTTCAGGATCAAACGAAATGTGAGAACATCATTCAAATTTCTTCTAATTATATATTTGAAATGACCAACTAAATAACTTATATCACATATATACATATATATATATATATATATATGTATGTGCAAGAGCTATACGGTAAAATACCTTCTTCCCACTCAATGGATCATAAACTTAAAACACATAACACAACATGAGCATCCGTGGAGGTTCAAAATCAAGTAAATCCTGAGCGTTAGTTACATAATCGATACACTTGATTCCAGTGAACTTGTTTGCAAAGATCAATATAAAACGTAATATTAATAAAACTATTTACAAAGACATAATTTCATATGAACATGTTTGTAGAGATCAATATATAAGAATATTAATGCAACTATTTAAAAAAAAAAACTAAAAAGGATATCATAAGAATGAGGACCACAAAATCGAGATAACTTAAAACTTCACTCCTAGGTTTTCGAACAATTGCTTTATGTAAATTAATTATTTTCACCGAACTTTTTTTTTTGGTATCGCAGTTTTTTTTTAGGTTGGTTGTGATTCTGTAGAAATAACTTTAGTTTGATATATGTATATATAGACATCAAACTTAGGCTTTATGCACACAAGATTTGAGTTACAAACGAAAATGTTTGGAAAATTCAGAAAGTATTGATTTACTATAGTATTTAACCATAAACCAAGTATGTTTGACCATAGATCAATAATAAGTACTTGTGCATCACCATTTATGTTTATTCAATACTTAAAAAAAATCATGAAACTTAATTGAAGGGATTCTTTGAAATTTATTACAAATTTTAGAGAATTATAAGGTTAAGTAGTATGAGAAAAAAAAATTCTTAGTAAGTTTATTTAAAACATATATTTCTTTAATTTGAGAAACAAACGATGTATTAGAAAGGTTATAGTTTAAAAAAAAAAATAGTATTCAGAAATATAATTTATGTTTAGTTTGAGAAAACAAATATTTTTCAGATATCATATAATAATATTGACATCATATCAGAAATAATGCATTGGAAATGTGAAATATCTATTTTTTAGAAATAATTTTTTTTCTAAAACATGGATTATACTAAAACAGAAAAAGTATGCAACTAACCATATTTGATATATTTAGTAAAAACGCTACTCAAATAATATCTATTATTATTTTGCAATTAAAACTGACTCATATTTTGCTTAGTAACTAACCATATTTGATATTTATGATTATGGTTAATAATTTACCCTAATTTTATATCTTCTGATTGATAATATTTATGTGTAGAATCACTAATTGTTCTTGTCTCTGAATTTAATTGGTAAGAACTAATCAAGAGAGGAAGCAAATTTAATTATAGTTCTTTGGAATATAATCATTTTGAGTGAATAAATTAGTGACATAATATATGTTAATTACCATTTATATCAAGTTTGGCCATTATCATAATGACATGATTGTGATTTTATATGTATTATAGGAAACATAATAATGTATTAAAAGAATCATAATGTATAATAGAAATCATAATGACATAATTTATTATAATTACCATTTATATCAAGTGTGGCCATTATCATAATGACATGATTGTGATTTCATATGTATTATAGGAAACAATAATCATTTAGATTTTTTTTAATATAAAAATATGTTCCAAAGTGATTTTTTATATGTAGATATATATACCATGATAAAGATAACATATAGTTTGAGATACATTTATTTACATGTCAATAATATTTTTACTGGAATTTGCATTATAATAAACATTTGATTAATATCATTTGTCAAATACGATAACTACAAAAAATATTTATTCAACATTCAAAATTCTATTATAAAGTTATATATAATCGGTAATTATATAAATCAATGATTAATATTATATTTTAAAATTAAAATACGTCAATTTGAAAATTACGTGATTGACTTACTTAAAATACGTGATTGACTTACTTAATGTAACTCATAATATTAATTTTGTGTGTAAAGGTTGGTCGCGTGGTTTAAATTCTTTTTAATCTCATACTTATAACTTTCCTGATTCTAAAGATTTCCAAATTAATTGTATGAAGGGGGAAATTATACTTTCCGTAATTTAAAGATTTACAAAGGTTGATATATCTGATTCATTGTATTTTTTCATCAAGACAACATTTATTCACAGGTATTTAGTAATTCAAATTTTTTAAAATAATATAAATATTATAATTTTTATTATATTTTCTATTTATAAATATGTATTTATTCACCATTACTTACTTATATTATAAAGTTACGTATTTGACTAATACTATTATCAAATACGATAACAACATTCATTATTATATTTTAATATGTAATATGTAATTTAATATGTAATGTAACTTTATATTCACCATTACGTACTTATATTATAAAGTTACATATTTGACTAATACCATTATCAAATACGATAACAACAAATGGTCTTTTATTCAATATTCGAAATATATTATAAAGTTACATTACATCTCGATCTCTATTGTGCGGGTCATATTAAAATATATTAATGAATGAATATTGTATAAATTTTATAATAATGAAGATAACCCGGGCATAGTGAATGTTTATAAAAAAAATGATGAATGTTTAATAGCATTGTCAAATACGTAATGAAGTAATGTTCGAATATTCATTAATGATAAATATTTAGAGGTATATGATGAATAAAATAAAAGTATATAGGTTTGTCTTCAATGGCATGAAATGTAATATCTCTAGTTAAGAAAGGGTTATTCCAAAAAGGCAATGAGGTGAATTGTGGTGATGCCACATAAGTAATGGCATAATGGTTAATAACACATGAACAAAAGGTTTAATGTTAAAAGTTCTCCTCAAATAATAAGAAGGGGATAGAATCCATAGATTAGTTATGTTTTCTATCAAAACACAAATTTAGTGATTAATAATTTTGTGAAGAGTAAAATCGCAGAGGAGCGGCCCATATAGCTTGCTCGGAGGCGGCTCGGCTCGTATATTTACCAACTTACCCTTGCTTTCGTACCTCCGTAGATATACGATGGGTAAATTCGTAATTTGAGTTTCATCGCCGATGCAACGAAACAAAGAGACCTTCCCTTCTTGGTTCCGCTGCGATCCGTCCTCTCGTGGCCGTTGCTTGAATTTCGATTTTGGAGCTCTTTTCGAAACGATCTAAATCCTGAATACGTCTTGGTTTTTGATTCTGAGGTACGACGAGTCGTATGTTTTTCAATCTTTCAACTTTAAATTCTGATTATTAGGGTTTTTATCTCTGCTTTAATTCTTCCTGAAATTCTTATAAAATTGATTCGAGGGTATGTAATTGGAGGTACCAAGGGCCTCTTTTAGTTCGTGAGTTCAAAGCTTGATCTTTTTTGAAGTTAAATTATGGTGAAAAGCATCAATCTTAGTATATGATCAGTTCAAATTTCTACTTAAAGCTTGCTTGCGAAAAGAGTTTGATGAATCTAATTTTCATAAGTAGTGGGCAATGCAGAGTAGCTGTGATTTAAGGAATTATACTTTTCGATTCGTCTCTGGGTTTTAAGTGATTTTTAAGCGGAAGTGAAAATTGGAGGAAGCACAAATCAATTGGATATCATCATATTAGTAAAGGAAATAATAGTTCATCGAATTTTAAGGCTTCGTTAGCATCTGCTTGGTTCACTTCCAAATTTAAGTAGAGGTTTTTATTTTTTGTTCTAATTTGGTCAATTAATGTGTTTCTTTTATTGGTTTTAGTTCTTAACTTGGTCTCAGTATTTAGAATAAGATATTCTTTGCTTTTATAAACATGAGCATGGTTCTGGCTAAAGGTCATAATGAATAACGGTTAGGAAGCTAAATGTATGCAATGAAGAAACCTGATTAATCGCATATAGATTCTTCCTTTTTTCTACTTTTGGGCCTTTTCAAGAGTTGGACTGTGTTAATCAAATGACTTTCATGATTATTTTCATTTTTAAATTCTACACTGGGATTTGTTTTTTTCTCCCAACTCAGCCGTTTACTGATGTTTATGTTCCATTGCAGGTGCACCTTAAATTAATTATTTGAGATCTGATAATAATTAGCATTTATGTGCTACAGCTTTTCATACTCCACTGTGTATTTAGTTATTTACTAATAAAACATAACACTTTCGAGAGCTGAGGGAATGTCAGCACCTGGGAAGTTTGATTATTCTTCCGGTGCGGCGCTAGATAGGCCTCTATACAGATCTAACTTTGCCGCACAGATGGAAAGATCAAGTAGCTTTCGTGAACATCCTGTCCCATCATCTCATCCAAACAGCACTTCACCACTAGCACAAACCGATGTAACGAATTTCTTTCAGTGTTTGCGTTTTGATCCTAAGGTGGTTGCCGCCGATCACAAGTCTATTCGTCAAGGTGACTTTAAGCGCCATGTTAATATTGCTCTTGGAATACAAGGAGATGAGTCTCCTAGTACAGGAGTGAAAGGGAAGTTCATTCCAGAAGAGATCAAAAGACTAAAAGCTGGTCTGCGCGAAAACAATGTCAAGGCCAGGTAGTTTAACTTCAACCACAAGTTAGTTAGTTAGTTAGTTACTCTTTGGCAATAATTTACTCTTTTGGTCGCAGGGAGCGCGTAAAAATTTTCAACGAAGCTTCTTCTGTATTTAACAAGTTTTTTCCAAGTGTGCCTACAAAAAAGAGGTCTCGACCAGAAGGGTTTTCTGCTGGTGATCGCTTGGTATCAGGATCCGGCCTTGGTAAAATGGGTATTCAAGGTCAGACCCTGGATGGTGGCTTTGAGCTTGACCAGCAAAAGTTGGATGAACGACCTAAAAGTGGTGTTCCAAATAAGCGAACACGTACTTCGATGGTATTCCTGACAAAACTTCCTTTAATATATTACCCGTATGGAGTTGTTTTAGTTGATATCTTGGTTCGTGCTTGAACAAGTTAGCTTCATGTGCTATAGTGCACTTTTCTGTCCGCATATTTATTGCATTTAGTCTTTTGATCTCTTCTGGTATAAAGGCTGGACAAAGTATAGACACTTCGTTACCTGAAGCAATTTGCTACAAAAAGTACCAATATTTGTTTATTTCGAATTGCATGAAAATTTAAGTGTTATGTAAAGGAATGTTAATATTATATTTAATAGGTTCTCGCTTATCATGATACTGTTATGACCCGAATATATTTAATAAGATGAAACTAACTTTTTTAAAAATGTTTTCATGGAGGTTTATAACAACACTTTGCATTTGATGTTATTTCCTAAATTTTGAGTTTTCATAACCAGTAAGTCCATCATAATTGTTGCTCAAAAATCTTAAATATCTTTATTTTGTGGTGCAGATGGATGTTCGAAGCAATTCTATCGTTCGGCAGTCAGCTGCTCTAGACAGAGATAATGAAATAATGCGGCCGGAAAATCAATATGCAGTTCGGGGTGAAGATCAAACTTCAATTGGTATTGATGGTTGGGAAAAGTCAAAGATGAAGAAAAAACGCTCCTGTATTAAAACGGACAGTCATCCTAACCTGGCTACAAATAAACTGGTTAATGGTTACCGAGACTTGAAGCAGGGCACACAGCAGAAGTCAATGGGTGACTCCCGGACGAGGTTGAATGGTGACTCGAACATGTTAAGGTATGACCTGTTGTATGTACGATAGCGTTTTGGTGCAACATTACAATGTCTGATGCTGATACGTACTATCATTTTTATTGATTGTTGCCATGTTCTCCGATTTACTTTGCTTAGATGTACTTAGCTTGCATATTTTCCTATAAAGGTCTCGTATTTGTACTACTTTCCATTTCATTTACTGTTCCCTGTTTGGAGTTTATTAGGAAAAGAAGCGTAAGTGGTAATGTCACGAGCTTGGGTAAATTGCCCTTCACGATCTCTTTAGTTTGCGTGATTTTATCTGAACTTATAGAAGTATGTGCTGGATTGATGAGATTTTACGCCATTAAAAACTTATGTATGCTAGAAATGCATGAGTGTGAGGTGTGTACTTCTGCCAACAATATCTTTCTTGGTTTTAACAATTTTACTGGTGGTATTTTGACTGAAGATATGACCTTGATGCAGATGATTATTTAATTCATTGAAGTGGGGTAGGTTATAGCTTCAAGGGTTCAAATTATGCTGGGATTCTTTCACTTGATCTAACTCATCACGTTGTTGTGTTTACTTCTGCTTTATTTTTCTCACCTCCTGTCGATCAACTGGATTCTGTTTACTTTAATAGTTATTCTAAAATATCCTGTTAATTTATTCTTGTAGGCAAGCGGCTGGTAATGGAGCTACTGGATATGGCAGATTTGATAACCTCTCTCAGCAGACGAGCTTGGCTGGGCATTCTCCACTGTCAAGGCTCGATTCTGATCAAAATTCTTTGTGCGCTGAGAAGAGAGAACGATCCATAGGTTCAGATAAGGAAAGGGTGAATCTAAGAGCTGTCAACAAGTATGTGTTATATCCGTAATCACACATTTTGAATCTTTTTTATCATTTCACATCCATAAATTACATGCACATTGATTATAAAATTTCAGTTTACCATATCAACTTCCTGATTTCTTTAGCCTTATTACTTCTATTGGGTTCTTTGAAGGTCCAATATTCAAGATGAAATCAATTCCTCAAGTCTAGTTTCAAACACAATACGAAATGCTTCACTTCGTGGGCCTAGATCAGGATCAGGGCTACCTCCAAAACTGTCTCCAGGACCCCATAACACTCCATCTCCAAGTGACTGGGATATCTCTGGCTGTACAAATAAACCACCACCAATGTCAGGGGTTATGCATCGGAAGCGTATGACATCAGATAGGTCTTCGTCACCACCTGTCACTCAATGGGCCAGTCAAAGACCACAAAAGATATCCCGTCCAGCAAGAAGGACGAATTTAGTTCCTATTGTTTCTAGTAAGGATGATGCCTACGATAATATATCAGATGCTGGTTGTAGTGAAACTGAGTTTGGATTTTATAAACGCTCGCCAGCTGCTTCTCCTCAACTGAAAATAAGAGGTGAAAGCAGCTTCTCCACAGCAGCTTTGTCAGAAAGTGAAGAATCTGGTCCCCCTGAGATCAAGTCTAATTACAAGGGGAAACAGTCTGATGAGGTTGATGGGAAAGTTGCACAGAATATTCCTAAAGTGTCTATCCCTGCTTTACAATCAAGAAAAGGTAACAAGACTGCTTCTGGTGAAGAGATTGGGGATGGTGTGAGAAGGCAAGGAAGGACGGGCCGTGGCTTTTCTTCCACAAGGTCTCTCAACCCAAAGGGAGTAGAGAAACTTAAGAATGTTGGAACAGCGAAACAGCTTCGCAGTGCAAGAGCTATCTTGGACAAGAGTGAAAGGTAGAGATCATTCTTATTTTAACCATAGCCTCTAATTTTATTTCTTCCGTTTTTGAAGTTTTTTGGATTCCATGGTGTCTATCTCATAGACTTCTTTGTGAATTCTGTGCAGTAAGGTGGGTCGTCCACCCACTAGGAAACTAACTGATCGCAAGGCTTACAAACGTCAGAGAGCTACGGCAGCAAATGCTTCACCACTGGATTTTCATGGTAAAACAAGTTCGTTTTAAAAGAATTTTCTGTTTGTCTAGATTTCTATTTATTTTGTTCATTTTATTTAGAGAAATTCTCTAGACCTAAAAGAGTTTTTGTCACAAATATAGGCCTTAAAAGTAAAAATGGCCATAATAATTTATTTTTTTTTTTCAAAATAAGTAAATATACACTTATACCTTTTGGTTAACTAATCCTATACTTTTCTGTTTAGAGTTGAGTACTGGAGTTTTGGGAATAGAATTTCATATTTTAATTTTTTTTTTTAAAATACTAAAAGTTCTATTTTGTGATAAAAACTTAAAAAGTTCTATTTGAGAGAATTGCCCTTTAATTTATGGATTATTTGCGTTTCTTTGCCGGTTCAGATGATGGCCATGAGGAGCTACAAGCGGCTGTTAACTCAGCCGTAAATTCTGGTAAAATATCGTTTCTTCCTTCACTTTTAGTTTGTATACTCAACTTCTGTTTCTAGATTGAATTGTCTTCTCATTGGTGCAGCTCAGAATTTTCCCAACTCTTTCTGGAAGCAAATGGACCGCTACTTTTGCTTTATATCCGACAATCATATCAACTTCATGAAGCACCAGGTGAAACCTTTTACTTCATTCTCAGATATCATTGTTAAGGGTATTTGACAGATATATCTTTATTGGGTTATAACTATTTACACCTGACGTTCTGAAATAATAATGTAAATTATGTAATAGGCTAGTTGGTTTCTTTCTGGCTCAAGTGTAGTTGGTTAGGAATTTGCTACAAGGGAAATTAATGTTTGGACTTGTACATGGAAATGGGTACCAATAATTTCACTATGCTTGCTCTTTACGTATTTATCTGCACCCCATTAATGTAAAGGTAAGGGAATCCCAAAAAGGTAAAATGAAATGGCGTCAAGTGTCTGTTGGACTTGTTAAAGTACATGATTTGATAGATTATGAACATTTGTGGCGTTACGGAAGCTAATCGGAGCACCAAGCATGTTAACTTCAACACTTATTTACAAAGTTAATATAATAATGTACTGCATTTTCATCCGTTTTCAGGGAGAACTCTTCTCCATGGGTCCTTCACCTGTGCTGACATCCCCTGACTTTGATAGCCGTGACTTATATCCTAAGGAACTTTCAACTAGCAGTGTGGATTCCAAGGCTTCTCCACTATACCATAGATTGCTATCAGCTTTGATTTCTGAGGACTCGAATGAAGATCTACAAGTTGATGGATTTGGGGCCATGCATGATCTTGATGACCACTCAGAATTCAGTGTTATGAATAATGGGTTTAGAAACAATGAAAGGCTGGAACATGATGAAGCACCCTACCACTACAATGGCAAATTTTCAGATCATTCACCGATTGACTTCTCAGACATTCCATATGATAAATTGGGGATAGATGAAAAGATTTATCTGGAAGTGCAGTCTATTGGAATATCCTTAGAACCAATGGTATGCAGTTTAGTATCTTAGTTATTGAGAAACTTGTTACTGCTATGTGCATTTTGCTGAAGTTTCTTGCAACTTGATATGCTGTTCTTTTGTGTTTTCTTACAGCCTAGTATCTCAAACGTGGAGGATGAAGGGATCGTTGACGAAATTAAAAAGTTGGAGGAGGCTATCTGCAAGGAGGTCTCTTTCTCATCAAATACTATATTGATTTATTATGGTTTTCTTGTCTGCCTTGCGGGTTTATAAAGTACTCTATGTGGATTCTGACTTCTCATAAGCAATCCTTGTAAAAGGGCAAAAAGCAATATTTGTATGTCCCATGTTTACTTTCTCCAGAGTAAAACACCGTTTGATGGTCTCTATGTTATTTTCTCAGGGTTCTCAGAAGAAAGAGATGGCGGATAGGCTGTTAAAGCCTGTAATAGAGATGAGAGAAACTCAAGAGAAGTATGAATTTTCCCTTACTCTGCCTTTCTGGATATGGATTATGATTTGATTTTTTGATCTTGTGCTTCTTTCCTTTACGTAGGGAGTTAGATCAGCTTGGTTATGATAAACTCATCGAGATGGCATATGAAAAAAGCAAGGTAAACTAATTTTCCCGAAACTGGCTCCTATCCAGCATTTTTTTCTTGCTTCCCTAGCCGTTGCAAAGTCACTTATCTGCTTAACTCCAATGTTCTTGGTTGATAACTCTGTCTCGTTTTTTCTACCACAGGCAAGTCGGCGTCATCACACCGTTGGTGGAAAGAATTCCACTAACAAGATATCAAGGCAGGCTGCATCTGCGTTTGTTAAAAGGACGCTTGAACGATGCAATCAATTCGAAGAGACGGGCAAAAGCTGCTTCAGTGATCCTGAGATTAAAGATAAGTTCATCGCCAGGTTGGAAACAACTCCTGCGGACAAGGAGGATAATCCGTCGACTTCAAGTACGATATATTTACTAAAATAACGACTTCTATTTCATACATATTCGCTCTACTAATTTGAATCCCTGTGTCCTTTTCCCTGACAGCACCTATTGGCTCACAGCCAAGCTCTTCTTCGTTGGCACGCACTGGGCAGAACTTGGAGAACTATGCCAATTGTTCTGATGCTGAAAATTCTTTACTAGAGCAAACGACATGGAGAGAAGATACAGTTTGGTCCAATGGGGTCAAGAAGAGAGAGTTGCTGCTTGATGATGTTGGTATTAGAACACAATTATCAAGTAGTACAAAGGGAAAGAGAAGTGAGAGGGACAGAGATGGGAAAGGGCAAGCTTCATCTAGAAGCAGGACCAATAAGATCGGCCGGCCTTCCCTGTCCAATGCCAAGGGTGAAAGAAAACCGAAAGCAAAACCGAAGCAGGAGACAAATCAGATATCTTCATCTTCTAGGATCCTGGAGCAACCCAAAGCACCATTACCGAACTCAAATGAAGCAAACGGTGAGTATGATAATTTGGAGGCACTGGAGGATACAGAGCCCATTCTAGACTTTTCGCAGCTGCAAATACCAGATGGCTTAGGAGGTCCAGAGTTTGATGCGCAACCAGGTGATATTAGCTCATGGTTTAACATGGACGAAGACGAGGATTTCGATATCTCGGAGCTTGGAGTACCAATGGATGATCTCGCAGGGCTGAATATAAAGTTTTGAGGTTACCTCTCACTCTCACTCTTGGAGTACCAATGGATGATCTCGCAGGGCTGAATATAAAGTTTTGAGGTTACCTCTCACTCTCACTCCATCTATATCTGTATAGTCTTGTTGGTTATACTTCTTAACAACAAAAGAAAACCAGAAAGGTAGAAGACAAGTTTTGCTTCCTTGAACGTATGTTAGCTCCAGAAAATTAGGTCATAGATTCTTACTTCATCTTCTTCTTAGGGCTCTTTTCCGTCTTATAACTCTGTTGTAGTGATATATATATACAAATATATATGGAGGGTCTTCTTTTTTTCTTTTTTTTTTAGTTTTCATAACCTCAGAACCATTACCTTTTCTGTACATACATTTTATGCTCTTAATAAAATCCAGTTTTTCCTTCGATCAACAAGGTCACTCTGTGTATACTCTTGAGTCTTTAATATCATGATTAGGTGTGTTTCTGTTTTGAATCTTTTACTCTAATCAGAAGAATAAAGCCCTTTGAAGCAAAATATCATTTATATATTAAGTAAATGTAATAAGATCATGATCCTTACCTCTAACCATACTAGTTCTTTATAAGTCTACTCGAATCAAAAAGTCACAACTTGAGAACTGTTTCAGGGTTTTACCATATGCTCTTAATGAGAATCCAAAATCTTGGTACAGAGAGTAATGCTAACGAATCACAAGACAAAAATGTGACGGGTGAAATCCAATATTGAGTCGGGAAATGTTTACTACAGTTGCTTGTCTCAAGAAATCCGAATCAATCTTTAGCCACAAGTTTCACGTACTTGCCATCAACAGTGAATCTGGGGCTCGAGTTCACCTGCAAGAAAGAAAATAGCAAAAGGCTCTTAAAGTGAAAACAAATTTAAAAAGAGATCGTTGCATCTTTCGAAACAGGCAGAATGAGATTGACTGACCTTTAGCTCTATCTCCTCACTGACGTCGGATTTGTCTCGAGTAATGCCTGAATCCACAAGAGATTCCAAAACGAGCTTCTTCAGTTTCTTCATCTTCAAAGTTTTATCTTCCTTCTGTATCAAATACCAGATTCATAGATGTGTTACACTGTGTAGTTCACCATTGCATTGATAGATACTGCAAGTAGTCAACGAGTTGATAGAGATATATACAGATTTCAAAGCGGATGTGATCAACTTCTTCCAATTGATTTTCTTCTCATGGCCCTGCTGCTTCTTTGCTTTCTTTACTTCAGTTTCCGTTTGAACTACCTCTCCGTTGTTTTCAACCAAAGTCTCTAGCTTTCTCTTTTTCTCAACATGCGGGTCTGAGGAGACAAGTGAATCATCTTTCTTCTCTTCCGAAACACCATTAGAAGCATTCTCTGTTGCATCTCCCACCACAGGGGTTTCTGAGGCTTGTTGTTTAGCATGAAAGCTTCTTGCTTTTCCTCGATGTTTCTTCCCATCAGCATGGGCAAGCAAAGTCTGCTGGCTTGTAGCCTTTGTGTTACATAAGCTGCAACCAAATAATAGATATCAACAACATGATAATTCCCACAAACAACAACACATTCTTTACAAAACAAATCTACATAAACCGTATAGAAGAATGTAGAAGATATTTTAAATCGAAGAAAGGTAGAACGAAGTGAGTTACCTACAAAACCATGGATACCGATTGGATAAGCCAACATTTATATCAAAGTCAGGTTGTTGCTTCGAGCCGTCCTTTGGCTTTGCAGGTGTGCCATTAGATGTCTTTGACTGCCCTTTTGGACCATACTTCTCCTAAAATAACACAAGAAAAAACAATCTCTTTTATCACACAAGACATAGCCAAAGAACATATAATCACCTAAGCCAACTTGTTCAACAGTAGATTAGTTTTGAACTACTTACAGCTTCGGTAATGCACTGGTTATGACCTTGTACACTATCTCGCCCAAACGTTTCTCCACAGTCGATGCACGATAACTATATGATTAGCAACAACAACAAATAGCGAAGAGATTTAACAGAAGAATCAATCAATCATCAAAGAGAGATTATTAGGTTTTAGAAGAAGCAAGACGGAGGAGACCCTTGAGGCATGGCACGTCCTGAAGTGAGCCGGGAGCTTTGGCTTCTTCAGACTAGCTCCACAGTCGTCGCATTGAAACCAAACCATCCTTCTTCCTCCTTCCGATTTATCGTCCCTCAAATCAAATTCTGAGATGGGTTTAAGATACCACCTGTGTCCCAAATTAGGGTTTTAAACATATTAAATGATTTTATAAAAGTTGTCAAACACCGCGCTGTTTTGGAAACTTTCAAGAACGACACGGTTTGTTAGTTTCTAAAGGTGAGACGGCCTGAGTCTCTTCAGAGGGCTGGCTGATTGTTTTAATTTAAATGAGCTCTGGAGTTTCTGGAGATACAAAGCTGTCTTCAAAATATATAGCCAACAAGTGCAGAGCATTATGTTAGTTTCTGCCCTTCAAAACATATGGATATTCAGTCTGTTTCTTTCTTCTGACAGTTTATAGCTGCAACAAAAGTTCCTGTCCAAACCAGAGCATCAACGACAGCTTACTGTCTCGTTGCTGCTGTTTAGAACCAAACCATTTGACATTTGCTTGATGTTTATTCCCAAAGGCTTGGACTGGTAACTTTGCAGGCTGGAAGCCTATATGTTACACAAGCTGCTGTGGAAATAATGAGCAACCAGAAGCAGGACTGGTCCATGACCAATATAAATTTGAAACTGGGAAGTGTCATCTGATGTGTTGAAAAGAATTTTGTATCATCAACTAAAACTGCATTTCATGGTTTTTCTAAGACGGATAAAGTAGTGTATATGTTTACATAGAGAAAGAGAAATCAAAAGAGATTACATATCAAACACGGATCATTCAAGTCATGAAAAGATCTCACACTAAAGAGAAGGAGAAGTACATTAAAAACCTGCCCTCAGAAACAACAACCACCACCTACTACTACTATACATTGAGTACGAAAGAGGAGTGTTAAACGGAGGGTATGTTTGAGAAGGAGAAACCTTTGTATCCTTTGTAAGCGTAATATGCAATCCGTGTATAGTAAAAGCCCGGGATAAACAGAAGACACCCAAGGACAATGAAGAAAATCCCTGTTTCACCACCGCCACCAATCATACAACAACAAAGAGAGGAGTGAGTCTTGAGTAATCATTAGTCCAAATAAATTTACTTGAAATCGAAAAAGCCAGTATCTTTTGTTTTATATTCTACAACCTGTACACACATCTCCACTGTTTTTTGTTTAATGAGTGAGAAAGAAGCCAAGAGATGTGACACTAAGAAACAAGTGATTGCTTCTTGCAGTGATAATAAGGGAGATAAGCTAATAAACATGCTTTCTTTAACATATGTGTAAAACCAAAATGCATGAAGAAGATACTTGAGAGAAGATGAGTATATATCGAAAACACACACATGCTTTACAAAATTATGCATATATATAAAAAAAAACATTTCTTAATTGGAAACAATCAAGATGATACCAAAGGAATACACTTATATTGATATTCAAAAAAACAAAGATAAATCTCATTGTTTCACATTCTAGTATTCTACAACCCGCTTAGTGTTTAAATGGAGAGTGAAGTAAAAAAGAAGACGTTACATCTTATTGACGAGTAAATGATAAACAAGTAATTGTTTCTTGTTGAAATGAGCAACAATCTATTTTAAGAATCTGATGCGGATGCTTCGTTAAACATAGCAGCAGAAAAGAGATGCATCTAGATAAGATGTTTTAAGCAATGCAGAGAAGATCACTATTGATATTTCACAAAACACACACAGCTTCTCCAAAATATTCATATTAATTAGAAGAAACAAAAAAACAAGATGAGATCATCACTAGGCGCCTAGCTAAATCATTTGATCAATGAAATCATGATGATGGAGTTTAGGTTTATGTAAAGCTAGTTTTGAAATGGTAGTACCGTGGCCTCGATCGCCGCCGACTCGGTTGTAGGCCATGAAGAAACCGGAGACGATTCCAAGGATTCCGAACAAGAGGAGAGACACGGCGAGGGAGATCTCCTTCACCGGCGGGCGATTACTGACGGTGTACGAAGTCCCAATCATAAGGTCCTCGTCCGATATCGAGAACGCGTGGTCCACGTACGCCATTTGAATACAGCTTTACTTCGAATCGATGTCAAATTAGAAAGGTTTTTTGAAGATCGAAGAAGACGATATCAACCCAAAAGCTTTTATGAGAGTTAAATGCGGAAGATGACGACGGAGATTGCTTATACTTTCGTTAAAGCAACCAAGTCTTTCCGTATATGCTGATATCTACACGACAGAACTACCTGTCGTTTATTTTTATTCTTGAAACGGCACGACGTTACTTATGAAAGTAGTCCAATTATTTTAGTGATTCGATTCATTAATGGTTTTTTTTTTTGGTAAGAAGTTGGGAGGAAGACTCCCAAATTTATTAAACAACAACCAGACTACAACCGGATTTGTCGTGACTGTAACGAGCCAACAACATCCTCTTGCATCAAAGTAACAACCTCTACTGGAACAACATCAAAACTATGAAAACCAAATTGAAATGAAAAAGCAAGGTTAGCTAAAGCATCAGCCAAGCGATTAGCTTCCCTAAACACGTGCACAAAACGGACCAATCAGTCCCTTGTCATAAAGCCATGGCACAAACGTACCAGGAACGACAATGGATGAGTATCTTCAATTCCAGTATTGAGAAAATCCACCACTATCTTTGAATCAACTTCAACCTCCAACCTTCTCACCCCTTTCTCCCAAGCAATCACAAGCCCATAGTAAACTCCCCATAGTTTCGCTAGAGCAGCACTGCACCTTCCTATGTTAAGAGCAAACCCACCGCACCAGTCGCCATTCTCGTTTCGCAGCACTCCACCGGCTGTAGCAAGTCCCGGATTACCATGTGACGCACCATCTGTATTAATCTTCATCCAGCCCTCCAACGGAGGCTTCCAACCTATCATTCATTAATGTTTTTTATACTCAAGAGTTTAGCCTCCAAATTTCAAATTCCAAAAATATTAACAATTATGTTAAATTAATGAATAATAAAAATTGAGAAATTCCACTTAGATAGTCTCTTTTAAGTTTTTAAATAGTAAAATGACCCTTAAATAAGAAAAGGCAATTCTCTTAAATACCCCTCTTTTAAGTTTTTATCACAAAAATAGACCTCAAAAATTAAAATGACCAAAATAACATTTTTTAATTTGAAAATTTAAGTTTTTTATTTTTTTTTAAATTCGAAACCCTATCTCCAAAACTCCACTCCTCAACTCAAAACAAAAAATTCTAAGATTAGTTAACCTAAGAGGTATAAATATATATTTAATAAAATATATAAGTGCTATTTTGGTCATTTTAATTGTTACGGTCTATATTTGCGATAAAAAAAATTTTTAGGTCTATTTTAGTCATTTTCTCTTATAGATATTTGTAAGTGATATAAATTTGAGAAAATGATTAATATAGACCTTAAAAAGTTTTTATCACAAATATAAACCTTAATAATTAAAATGACCAAAATAACACTTAAATATTTTATTAAATATACATTTATACCCCTTGGGTTAACTAATCCTAGACTTTTTTGTTTAGAGTTGAGGAGTGGGGTTTTGAAGATAGGGTTTCGCATTTAAAAAAAAAATTAAAAAACTTAAAATTTTCAAAATAAAAAGTGCTATTTTGGTCATTTTAATTTTTAAGGTCTATTTTTGTGATAAAAACTTAAAAGAGGGCTATCTGACAAAATTACCCTATAAATTTGGATTTAGTAAAATTGAATTATTCAACACAGATGGATGAATGTAAGTTAGTCATGATATTTTTTGGTTTAGGGTTTGGTAACTATGTTATAGTATTATATGTGTTTTTAGGGTTTGATTGTGGAAAAAAGTAAATTTTAGCTATATGTGTTTAGTTTTATGTATATTAAACACTTTATAAGTTTATTTTAAGTTTCATAAAGTTTTTGTATGTGATTTAGTTCTATATTTGATTTTAGGGTTTTGGAAGACTTAAATTTTTGAAGATATAATATACTAGAAGACTTACTAGATGACTTAACAACATTTTCCCGCTTAAAAATTTAAATTAAGTTAGGTTTCCCACCGAAAGTAAGTCTTCTAGGTGAATAGTAAATCTTCTGGACGAATAGTAAATCTTCAAAGTAAGTCTTAACAACATTTTCCCGCTTAAAATTTTAAAATAATTTAGGTTTCCCACCTAAAGTAGGTCTTCTAGGTGAAAAGTAAGTCTTCTAGGCAAATAGTAAATTTTTCAAAATAAGTCTTTTGGGTAAATAGTAAATTTAGGCTCTAGAAGACTTCTTGGAAGATTTCCATTATATTAAAGTCTTATGTATCGAATATATTTAACCTAACTGAAATTTTGTCTTCATATATAAATAAAAATTTACACATTATCTTTCTTCCTCTCAAATGTAGGTAACAAAAATGTAATATTTCTCACTCTAAAATTCTATAACTTCTCTCTAAACTATTTGAATTTGATAACACTGTTATAAACTAAGAAGAGAATGAGAGAAGTAATGAGGAATTCTCTGTGTATTATTACTGAATGAATATAGGTTCCTTTATATAAGGACTTACAAGAAGACATAAATGGAAAACATACAAAACCTAGACAACACTAAATGTAAAGTCTTGGCCGCCTATATGCCCAATGGATCACGACCATACTTGTCATGATTGGGCCTCCATCTTCTTGGTCTTGGTCTATGGTTATGGCCCATCCACATAATCGTCCATAACACTCCCCCTTGGATGGGCTAACCATATGGGCCTGTACCATACTTAATGTTGCCTCGTTAAAACCTTCTCTAGGAAAACCAAAAACCCAAGGTGGGAAAAATGGAAACCTCAGACAAGGAAAAAGAGTACAACACATGATACTCCCCCTGATGAATGCATCACTGAAATGTCTGATGCATTCCAATCTGGTCGGTAGAAAACTGGTCGGCTAGGTTGCTGCTGGGCCGAACTCGAACTTCTAATACCTTCTGGAAAAACTCATGTGTGAGTACTACTTTGGGCTGAACGTCTTCTATGTCTTCTGGAACTCCATTAGGACTTGGTCCAGTCGTGCATCATCACAACTGACCACTCCATGTCCTGGTCGGACAGATCTCCTAGTCGGACGGATGTCCTGGTCGGATGGTACTTGACTAGTACTCGGATGGACCCTTTGATCAACGATCAAATATTACTCATAAGTCCTCTTATGTCCCACGGTTCTAGTAATCATATGGCCTCTGCCATACCGTGTACACCTTAATATATTGAGTCATCTTGCAATGCTCGAAAATCTCATGTCTTAAAACATGTGGATGCATGGACGGGATGTAAACCTTTATTGTATACTATGTCGGATATGTTTCATCATACTATGAACCTTAGGGCACGGTACCATGAACCTTTATCTATACACGTCCATAATGTGTCCCATAAGTGTCTAAGATCATGACTTGATCAATGATCATTAATGCAATGAGTTTCACAATCTTATCAAACTACGGTTCTACAACCAAGTACACTCATGGACCTTATTCATGGCTACCAATCTTTCTTGTCTCAATGTCACACACATTAGACCACGTCCAATACCTTTACATCCATTCCTATTCCAGTCTTATGACGTCCATCTAGATGTACTAGGTCATAGACCTTGACCAAACACAAACTGGTTGGTACTTCCTTCTACGGTCATGTATATATGTGCAGTCCCACTTGCCTTGTTTTGTATGGACGTGTCTATGGACTGCTACATGATAGCTTATCTTGCTGAGATCAAGGGAACACAAGGATTTATCATGTGACCATCTCACATGTCACTTAGGGCGTGCTGGTCTATACACATACACACGGCCATGGTTTCTGCTGCAAGTCATTGTAGCCATAGCCCGTCTAAGAATTATTAAAACCATTGAACCTCTCTGTGGGTTGGTTTAATATAAACACAAGGAATCCATACATCTTGCACATGGACTGATATTAATTGTTCTTATAGAACTCTTTACTTAGTCTTATCAATATGCAGCTGCTTTATTTCAGTCCATAAACAGCTTAGGAACAAAGCTGTTCTTGAGAACTTCTTTCTCATCTTTCTTATATCTCTTGGTACCTTTAACATTGTGTATCCAGTGAACCATATGCTACTCATTACTTACTTATATGTCAATCTATTGACCAGACTTTGTCAAACTCGGAATTACATAGTAGCCTCCACCACATTGGAGCATATNTCTATTGACCAGACTTTGTCAAACTCGGAATTACATAGTAGCCTCCACCACATTGGAGCATATCTCCTTATAACTTGTTCCTTAGTCTCTTGTGAGTATCCTTGTGTCATCAAGCCATGCTTGAGTGTTATAAGAAGGCACATGAACACTTCTAGACCACGTGGTCATGTCCTTTTGTCTCACGGTTTTCTCACAAGACTTTATTCATCACTGGTTTTATCTGATGGCGTTTCTATATGGCCAATATGCCCATCACTCTTTACATACTCTAACCCCACGGTTTTCTTTCTATCTTTATCTTTATGAGTGAGTACTCTTACGTGGGTTCATGATCCTCGCTTTATATCTTATATTCAAGTGCTACTTATCTTGCGCATTCTCATATGAAAATACATCATTGGTATCGATACCCTTTATGTGTTCCATTGCATTCCATTGCACTCCAGACATAACATAACTGATTGCAATCTAATGACCTTTAATACCTGGTGTTTTGGCGTCCCAAATCCCATTGTATGGTATCTTATATTTGGTCGACCATTTTCTATGTCTGGGATGGTTTCCATTATGACCTCGGTTTTCATACTCTATGCACCTTTCTCTTTTCCGAGGTTCCTTTTCTTATCGAATACACTCTCTAGCAACTTGATAGTGTCTCTCTAGGACATCAATCTCGTGGTGCTAAGCTGGTATGACTTTACACATTATTTTCCTCTTTTTTCGGGTCAATGTGTCTTGCATCTAATTAGCTAGCTTTGCATAATCTTTCTTTCTTTCTTTGGACGTCTTAAATCATATACTCTAGTCCGAGGATCTTGCCAAGACACTGATGGTCAATACCATTCTATTTCTT